GGGACCCTTCTCGGCCTGGAAGATCACCTCCTCGTCCGGCCCCTCCGATCCGTCCCGCTCTAAGCCACCCGCCGCCCCTCGCAGTGCATACTTGGCAGGCCCGTGCTCCAGCCCCTCACCCGTCTCCCGGGGGCTGAAGTAGTTACTGCTGCTGGGGGACTGATTCTCGCTGGTGCGGCTGGAGTGGGCGCGGAAGGAGGAGGAAGGTGAGGGGCCGGCGGTGCCGCGCCCCTCCTTGAGCAGCTCCGTGCACTTGTCCACAATGTGCCACATCTGCAGCACGCTGCCCACGGTGAGGAAATTGACGATCTCGTCTGAGGCCATGCTCAGCTTGCCAGTATATGCGGAGCCCAGCACCGTCTCGAAGGCACCCGGGTCCATGACGTTGGGCAGCACGATGGACGTCATGTTCTTCAGCAGCACCTGGTCGTGGAAGTAGGGCGAAGAGGCGGCCAGCACGGCCCGGTGGGCCCGGAACACCCGGCCCTGCACGTGGATGGAGATGTCGCACAGCTTGCCCTCCACCCGCTGCTGGTTCAGGTTTTCCAGCAGGGCGCTGGTGATCTCAGGGAAGTCCACGTGCACAATGGCACCGCACGCCGGGTCCATGGTGCCGGGGATGCACTGCCTGCGAGAGACAGAGGATTAGAGCTGTGGGGTGCTGGGAGACACCCCCAACAATCCGGTGTCCCAGAGATCCTCTCTGTGGGGTGCTAAGGAGACCCCACCTCCTTTCTCAAATGCTGCATTCCAAAGATCCCCGGGCAGGAAGGGGGACTTCTGTCTGGGCCCCCGCCACAGATCCTGTGACCCAGACCCCCCAGCACAGGGAGAAGGGCAGGCCTGGGATCTGAGGAGATTCACTGAGATATTTAACCCTTTGTGGAATGGACCATAGGGGGCAGGTGAAATTCAAGGTTGATAAATGCGAAGTAATGCACACTGGAAAACATCATCTCAACTATACATATAAAATGATGGGGTCTAAATTAGCTGTTACCCCTCAAGAAAGAGATCTTGGAGTCGTGGATAGTTCTCTGAAAACATCCACTCAGTGGGCAGCGGCAGCCAAAACCAGTAAAGAATGTTGGGAACCGTTAGGAAAGGGATAGATAATCAGACAGAAAAGGTCATATTGCCTCTCTATAAATCCATGGTACGCCCACATCTTGAATACCGCAGGCAGATCTGTTCGTCCCATCTCAAAAAAGATATATTGGAATTGCAAAAAGTACAAAGAAGGGCTACAAAAATGATCAGAGGGATGGAACGGCTTCCATATGAGGAGAGAGTAAAACAACTGGGAGTGTTCAGCTTGGAAAAGAGACGACTGAGGGGGTACGGCAGAGGTGAGAAAGTGAATAAGGGAGTGTCTGCCAGAACCTGGGAGTGGGCGACAGGGGATGGATCATTCGATAACTGCCCCTTTCTGTTCATTCCCTCTGAAGCATCTGCCACCGGACACCAGACTAGATGGATAATTGGTCGGACCCACTGTGGTCGCTCTTAGGTCCTTATAATAAAATAACCCCTGAGCCCCTGCCTGGCTCCCAGCCCCCAACTCATAACTGCCCCTGACACCCCCCACCCCTCAGGTCATAACCTCCCCCAACCCCCAACTCTCAGGCAACACCCCATCACAACCTCCGACCTTATACTTCCCTCCTGCAAACCTCCCATAGCCCATCTCAACCCGCACAGAGCTGCTTCCCCCGCCAATTCTAGGTCTGCCTCCTTCCCCCTCCCCAACAGCTCCCCACCTTATACCCCCACAGCTCACTTCCCAGCCACCC